CAGTCTTGGGCTCCTTACCTTAGGAAATACCTTGAATTGTTGGAAAGGGCTCAGAGAAGGGTTACTAGAATGGGGCCTGGGTTGGAGCAGTTGTCATATGAGGAGAGGCTGAACTCTCAATTTGTTTTCTATTGAAAAAAAAGAAGAATTGGGGTGAGGGTCTGATTGAGGTGTTTAAGATTGTAAAGGGAATTGATAGTGTTGATGAATCAGCTTCATTCATATCTAACAGTGAGAATAATAGGACTTGGGGACACAAGTATAAATTTTGGCAAGATAGGAGTCATCTCCAGCTAAGACAGTTTTATTTTTTTAACAGGGTGGTTAGCCTTTGGAATGGGTTGCTTTCAGATGTTGTAGAGGCAGTAAATTTAAGTGAGTGTAAGAAAAAGCTTGATAAGTATATGAATGATAAGGGCTGGCTTTAAGATTTTTTTTATTATCATAATTTAGTTTAGAGGATGGAACAGCCCAGATAGACCAATAGGTCTCATGTTGTCCAAAAACATTATGTTGTGTTAAATTATTACTGCTTTCAATTATTCCAACTATCCAAGTAATCAAAATATTACCATTGTGATTTCTAATTATTATTTTCAGTTAATTCAAGGTTTTTCAGCTTAATCAATTGATGTCACAGCTCATGAAAATAATCAACTAATTGAAATTGGTGTTTCTAATTAATGCTACTATTTTTGTTTATTTCAACTATCCAAGTCTCATGTGAGAATAATCAATAAATGACCTGATGATTAATTTATCTATCCAGGGGCCCCAGTTAATGATATCAGTCTCAACTTATATATACCTATTTTTAAGATACACAAAAGTAAAATTTTTTGGACCTAGGAACCTATATGATACACAATTGCAAAGACTATCTGTAAACAGAGCTTGCATGGTTATCTTAGAGGCCTCCTACAAATCAAAAAGTAACCTCCACCCCTCCCATAACATTACACAAACAATTGGAAGTGTAGTTTTATTTTCTTATAATGTAGTGTATCCTTTTACTTGTGTAACATCAGTAAGGTTAAGCTTAGGAGGGTGTGTGTGAAAAGTATTATTTCTTTAGTATATGCCACTGAAATAAATTTTCAGTTCACTTTTTCCTCATCCTATAAGCATTCATTTTACTAATCAGCTTCATACAATACACCTTATTTGTACAGTATATTATTTCTTTTTATATGGCATATGGTATTTTTTAGTGCAAGTTGTAGTTAGGTCCTCATTTTGACAATTTCAAATTACATATAATTTTCAGTGAGATTAATGTTATAATGTTGTTTTTTCTTCTTTTGAACCTGTTTAAAGATATTGTTGAAATATCTTGCAAAAAAAAAATACAGTTAAGCATAATGGTATCATTTAAATATCTGACACATATTTAAGTATTTCTGGCCAGAGATCACTATTTGTCATTGCTAATATTGAATAGTTTAATATGAAATTCATAGCATGTTGAATTGTGGAGTTAGTGTGTGACTGGCATAAGTTACATCAATTCAGTTTAAGTATGTCTGTGATTTAGTGTATTATCTTTGTAACCTGTATTTCTGTCTCTATGTGGTTTCTTCTTCAGCCATTTTTTTTTTTTTCATTTAAAACTACCATTTGTGATATTTTGTTTTTAAATTGCAGAAGGGCTTTTAATATTATTTGTCTGTTTTGATAATACTCAGGTTATTCCCTCACATATTTGCATACATTCAAACAAACAAAATTTGTATGTAAAAGATAAGTTTTAGGATATCCAGTTTGGCTCACCACTGTAATAGATTTCATACCAAATGAAGTACACTAACAACTGTCTAAATAATATACAATGCTCAAGATATTTTAGCGTGATGTGCCTAATACATGTACTAGGATAACTGGTATTATTTTTATAAAAGAAAGCTTTTAGTACTATTGTACAGACTTTATAAACTTTTTAACATGGGTTTTATTTATTGAATGAAATATATTAAAAATATAATTTTGTTATAATCTCTCTTATTACATAAAGTATTTGAAAGTGATATATATATATATATATATATATATATATATTGTGTGTGTGTATAGACATAATATTACTGTACTTATTAACTAAAGACAAATTAGTATAACTTAATTAACAACATACT